CAAGGAAACCCACAAAATTGGAAACAGTTTGAGTTGCGTTAGCCAGAAATTGTTAAATATCTGTTTAATTTCCATACTCTAATTGAAACAAACCTAGAACATGCTCAGATACAATAGCATGCTGTTTGCATATAATATAAACACGTGTTCAATTTTACCTTATGGCAAAAGCTATAACGTAATAAATCTTTGCCATCTGATTACAAATAATTTATGAAATTGTGAATTTTGAACATGATGAAGAATATGCATTAGAATCGTTAGGTCCCTTACATGTGTAAATATGATGGCAATTGCTGGTTTTAGCTCCCCTTGGAAAGTAGCCAATGCAGATCAGGAGTCAGGCTACCACTGCTCTGGATTCTTCAGCAGCCATTGCACCCTAAGCTATTAGCCCCATGTAAGTTTGTTTTAAATGTTGAAGAATATCGCTGTGTATCTCTGCCTTTGTCACTCTTTAGGTCCACAGCCATGAAGCGTTGCCCCCTTCCCTTCCCTAAATATCAAAGCAATGAACATTTGAAAGATGTGCGGTGAAATTAGGACTAACTTCCACACACATGCAAAGGACGGACTAGGGAAAGCACTGCACCTCTTTCAGGCCCACATCCCTAGAATGTATGAATCTGCTGCAGCCAGTGGTAGCCACTGCTAAGCTAGATTTCCTGAACTCTGAGAACACTGGCTGACAGTTGGAAAACTTAAATCGGGCTTCTGAATGGATGCTGGGAGTCCTATTTAAATATTACAGTGAAGTTTTCTGATTGTCCAAATCAAGACCTGTGCATGCCACACAATTCACCAAAGTAAAAATAGAGGGTAGAGAGGACATGTTCCCTGATTTATTAATTGTCACCCACGATCTATTTCCCACCTGTCATGTGAGCCCTTATAATATCAAGGCCAACATAATGCATGTGTTTTTATATTTATTAAAAAACAACAATATATTTCCTTTACAAATACTCCAAACATGTGAAAGTATGCTTTACAGTCTTACTGGCACCATTTTAAAGATTATTAGACGGTGTTAAGAATATCATTGGTTGTTGTTCATTCGGAACTTCTACATGCTTCATTAGCCAGGGATTTCCTGGAAAGTATCAACTTTAGCTTAAAAGCAGCGTTGCACCAATTTCTTTTCAGAACATTTATCAATTCCTGATTTATGCAAGTTTTATGGTAATATATCTCGCATGCTAAAGACAGTTAAGATGGAGTGTCTTGATTTACACAAATAACATGTCAGTGTACATATATACCCCAAGATTTAAACACAGCATGCTCTGAAGCCACCTGATAATGTTCTAACTGGAATTTATGGAGATCGCACCCATTTCCGTTGCATTGGCGAGGGCAGCAGTCCTTGCTGGGGATTTGGGGTCGGGGAGTGTGGGCTTACCAGGAAGTTGTGTCTGTGAGCCAAACCATGCTTGAACACACCACTGTCTTCTCCATCACTGAGCCTGCAAGTTGGCCACCAAATTATACCTGGCGGTTTCTCTACATGGTAATGTGCCCAGGCACCAACAGTAGCGGGAAGAGGCCCATAGGTCAACCTTAATAGCTACTTGAGTGCCTCAGTTAGCCTAAGAGTGGCCAGGATCTCTGCTACCTTCCCTATCATTGGTAAAATGCCCACGGTAGTGAGAAAGCAATGGCATGCCATCCTTCCAGAAGTCCACGGATTTCATGCTTTGCATTTTGCTTCCCATCCCTGCCTGGTCCCTGGTCCTGTAACATCACACAGAAATCTCTCCATATCTTCCATGTCCAACCTATTGATAACTTTAAAGACCTTTATCAGGTACATCACCTTTATTTCTTCTGTTTTTTTAAGGTACACAGCCAAAGCAGTTGCTGTAATACTACCATGCTCATTATCTTGTTTACACTTTTTCCAGAGCTTTTGTATCTTTTTAATAATATGGAGATCAAAACTGTACACAATACAAAGTATGATTCGACCAGGGTTTTGGCCAAGTTTAACAAAGTGTCAGTACTTTTGTATTCCAAGCTGCTCAAAATCAAAATAGATAAATCATTATTAATTACTTTGTGACCTACAATGTTGCTTTTATTATAATAGAGGGAGCATCAAAAGCAAAAGCAAAACTATTTAGGATGTCCATTACAGAACGTATCCACCCATTTGTCATTATCCTAATAAATGGCTCAATATTGGCACTTGATTCATGCTGGTTTCTATGTCTCAACACAAGCAAAATGAGCACTGCAGGAGATTTTGCCCTAAGTTCACTCTGGCAAGAATGGATAGTGAGTAGTGTAAATGTTGATGTAATTATTTTCGGAGATTCTAGAAATTATGGTCATTTTGTAGTTTCGCCAACCATTGCAATATTTTCTGTACAATATATTATAGACTAAGTAAGCTTCAAGTTTTCAAAATCAGCTTTCTAGTAAAATTATTTGTTTAGTGATTAATGTCGACTGCCAACCTATTCTTGTATTGTTTCTTTAGCTTATTTATTTCCTATTTCACTTCTGTTGAAATCATGTATTTGAAATTTTGCACTTTCCATGGTATAGTTTCTATGACAACCAACATACTGAGACATTTCACCTTCAGGTTTCTGCCTAAATACATCAACTGAAATGGAACAAAATACAATATCAAAACTTAACAGGCAGTGACCATGAGTTTTAGCTGTGTGTTGCTAATGGGTGATGCCTCTTACAACTGACATGAGCAATTTACCAGTAGACATTAATATCTGTTCCAAATGTAACACCATTCACTGTGGCACTTGAATGTACACTAGCATTCTTTTTACACAGCATTGGCACCCTTAAAGAAAAGTATACATTTTATATGTCTCTTCATATATAAATGTCTCCTGGTATGATGAAACATATGAATCAGAATATGCCGTTCATACAACAGTTACGAGAGCAGGTCATTGGCTGGGAATTCTGTGACTACTAACTCACCTCCTGATTCCCCAAAGCCTGTCCACCATCGACAAGACACAAGTAAGATGTGTGATGGAATCCTCTGTCCGTACTTGCCTGGATGAGTGCAGTTCCAACCTTGACACCATCTAGGACAAAGAAACCCCGACTATTGGAGCATCATCCTATACCTTCGACGTTCATTTCTTCCACCATCTACTGGATCCACTGTAGCAATTCATCAAGGTTCCTTCACAGCACATTCTAAACCTATGACCTCCACCACCTGGAAGGACAAGGACAGTGGATATATGGGAACACCACCATATAAGCCATTCACTATCCTGATTTGGAACTATATTGCTAGCTCTTCACTGTTGCTGGGTCAAAATTTTGGAACTCCCTTACTAATAGCATTGTGGGTGTACCTACAACACATGAACACCAGCTGTTGTAAATGGCAGCTCACACCATTTCTTCCAAAGGCAATTACACATAGGCAATAAATTCTGGCTGAACTGGTGAAGCCCACATCCCATGAAAGAATCAAGGAAAAACATCAGTGTTTCAAGGCTGTTCTGCCATTCAGACATCTCATGGCTAATTGGTAGCATGTCTCCATTTACATTTTTTCCCCATATTTCTTGATAGTATTGCCCACAAACAAAAATGCATGGATTTGGGTCCATTTAAGGTCATACTAATAAATTGATGCTTTTTTAAAAAAATAAGACAATCCATTTCTTCCATTACTGAAAGCTCCAGAGCTGAATCTGTAAACATTCTGACATGGAAACTTGTTCCTACTGGAGATTCAAAACCATTGCTCTTTTTATTTCCATGCTAATTAAAGTGTGTTCTCAGGAAATGCATATTTCAATATTCTCATGACTTTTTTTAAACAGATTACAAATGACAATGGAGCATATGTATTTCACCCATTTTTGAGGGCAATAATAGCTAGAAAACAAGGATGACTTTGAAGTTAAATGGCTTTTGTTTCTTAGGTATATTTTGGAGGAAATTAATACAATTTGCTATTTACATTTCTCAAATATTCTGTTTAAACATTGATGTTACCTGCACTTTTGACATTGATAAGTGTAATACTTTCCGATGTTCAATTCCTACAGTTTCAAAGTAGAATTGCTGTTAAATATACTCTCTTGTAAAATTCAGAATGTCATTAGGACTTTGATAAGTAAATACCTGAGTGCATCTCTTAAATTTAAAGCAAATTAGAAAACACAAAATGTTCTACTTGGAACATTTACAATAACTTGAAAAAAATCTAATTGTTCAGAAAAAAAGTCATACACTAGATATGTTTTAGATGGCTCAACAGACACTTACTTCTGAGCTCTTTTCATTGCCATGGGAAATAACCAAAAAGTATTCTTACCCTCCCCCATGTACTGGGCAGAGTTCCCAGATACTTGACTGATTTAAATTACAGCAGTGATTGCAAGTTGCTGATGTAATTTAACTAAGTGCTTTTAAACTATTGATGTAAGTTATTCTAGTGTTTGTTAATTCAATTCATTTCGAAGTACGTGGTTAATGTCACAGAAATTTACTTTGTGGATTTTAATAAATGAAGTTTTACTCGTGGCCCAAAAGCTGACAGTTCCGAAAAAGGACAAGAGGCTGTGTATTACAATGTGCAGACCATACTCAGAGAACCAATTTTAAAAATAGACTTGATAAATGCATGTGGATAATGCAACATTAAATATTTGTGTGTAACTTGAAATGATATTGTCCCTTAGACATTCTTATCTTAAAATATAATATAACTATTAGAAATTATTGTTAGGCATTTTCATAATTTTATTTATGTTTGTAAATAGTGCTTGAATTTTATCAGATTAGTTCTGTCTTCCAGTCACTTGTTACATTCTAATGTGTTAGTGAGAATAGTAATATAGTGTGCTACAGTTGACTAGTTATGCTATATTAATAGTTAAGAAACAGTATTTTAGTGTAAGGATGCATAATATAGACAATTTATTAATTAAGGTTTAAATTACATTTGCACTACAGAAAAATAAACTTCATACTGACACTTACCTTTGCAAATTCGGCAGTGCTCAGCCTTATGTGGAAGTGGAATTCAGCAACGAGAAGTCTTCTGCCAGATCGCAAACCACAGTATTGAAGATTCTCACTGCAGTCAATCTACAAAACCTGTTTCAGTTCAACGCTGTCAAACAGGCGAATGTTTGCATTATAGCTGGCATGTAGAAGAATGGGAGAAAGTAAGTACAACAGCTGCAGCAGACAGCAAAAGCACTGTTCAGAATAAACAAGAGAAAGGCACTCTTCCTGCCTTGCACCCGTTGTACTTGAGGTGTGATTTGTAAACTAGGATCAGATGGCTGGCTTCATGTGGTCAAGGAACTTGACATATGGCCAAGGAACTTAAAAGTTAGAGAAAAGAAAACCTCTGCCACATAGGAAGTAGGGATAACTGCAATGTTATATCACTTTAAATGCTATTTAACTGAAGGGACAGATTTACATAATATTTAATTTAAAATATTAATTCAGCTTAACAATTCTCAACGTTAGAATTACCATTATATTGTAAAATTGTAATGTAAATGTAAGATTAGCTATGTTCGTCTATTTATAAACAGTTTTGTTTTCAAGATTTCAAAATGTACAACTTACAAACATGAATGTTGGACAGTAATGAAAAATCTTAAATAAGTAGATCCTAGCAGTGAATATGATTTACATTTATCATTTTTTTAACACTTACATAAGAAATGGCAATTCAACTCAAGGTGGGTCATAATGTAAAGCCATTGTATGGTTACAAGCTGATTTTTTGTCTTCATTTCTTAAATCAGCTTTTATCTCCCTCATTCTCTCCCCTCAGTCTCTTTTCACTCCCAGCACCTGGAATCAATTAAACAGTCCATTGTGGCAGGCTGTGCTCAATGTGTCACATTGCTTTGTTAAAGAATTCCAGACTGCAAGCAAATTCATCCGTGCTCTGAACATTTGCAACATTTCACAGGCATATTTCCAAGGACAGTCTTAAAAACAACCATGGCCACGAATTACTCTTTTTTTTCCTGGAAATTTGTATTAATCTATTACAGATGTGAAATGCTTGTATGGCAACATTCTTAGTGGAATTGTTGCATTTCTGCCCTACTTATTTGAAAAAAGTGACATCCGTATCTAAATATTATTAACTATAAAGTGAATAAGTAAAAAAAATGTTATGTTCATATTGTATAAAACTAATGTTTTTGGTGATGGAAAGAGCACCAGACTTGAGTTGAACCACAGTGTAAGAAATTTCCAATGGATTCATGCTTAATCTGTAAGGAATGATGTATAGGACTGTGCTTTAAAAATTTTAGAAATGGCACTAAGATCAGAGTAGCCTGACATGTAATGTGATTCTCAGAATGTTTTTAATTTGACCATACTTACAGTCTCTTAAGGAACAAACAGCAACTGATGAACCTCTTGTTTTTAAGAATTAAAAGCAAAAGATTGTAAAAATTCTTTCTATAAAAGTGAGAAAGGTGTGTCATTCTTATGTGTCTCACCTCTTATATTTTGTACAAAATTGTAACATTAATTACTCTATTTTATAGTTCATATATTTTATCTGAGTGACAGTAGACGATTACTTGCATATAAAGGAACATATCTACATATTAGAATGACATTTATGGGATCAGTATTCTTTTGATTTAAAAATCATGTAATAAATTTCATTTTTTCTGGATAGAAAGCAAAAGATGAAAGATTGTAAAAACATGTCACATTCCATGTACTGAATTTAACGGTCGAGGGATTAACCCATTGACTGTCAGAAAAGTGGGGATTCCCCTGCAATGACTATTTTCAGAAACTCCAGTGTAATTCATTGTCAGTCAGGTAGCTAACAGCCTTCCCTTGGAGCTTCCATGTTAAAGACCTCTGGTCCAAGAGCAGCCAACCACTCAAAGGGCCAATGCTCTTCAGTCCACTGATGAGAATATAGCAGGCCCCTGAGGTGGCTTTGCAGTGCAGGTAAATTGGTTTGACCCACTGGGGCCAATCAGGTAGCCCCTGGCAAGAGAGGGGAGGGAATATGGGTTTCATCGGGAGGACCTTGCTACCACTGGGGGCCGTTGCTGCTAGGAAGACCTTCATGGACCAGAGTCCCTAATGAGGAGGATCCCAGACCCTCCACCAGAACCCATAGGGTGTCTGTCAGGTTTTACTGGGAGACAACCCTAAATGTTGTATGGTGGTTAAAGAGAGCAGAAGGAACTGGGTCTGCTTTTTTTTAGAACGGGAGTAAGGTGATGAGTTCCAGCTAGGCAGGCCATTGCCTGTTACAAAGGGAACTTACACTTAGCAAGCTCCATAGGGACAAAAACAGAAATTTCTGCAAAAGCTCTGCAGTTCTGGCAGCATCTGTGAAGGGGAATCAGAGTTAACGTTTCGGTCACTGGAACCAAAATGTTAACTCTGATTTCTCTTCACAGTTGCTGCCAGACCTGATTAACTTTTCCAGAAATTTCTATATTTGCTTCTGATTTACAGCATCTGCAGTTCTGTTGTTTTTAATTTAGTATTGAGCTCCATAGGGAGATTAATTAGTGATTCCCCAATGCCCATAAAGAGGTTATCACAGTCACCAACTCCATTCCTCTCCTTGGAGCCTGTCTGATAGTGAATTATTATTAGATTATTTGGAGTCTCATGTCATTTTTGACCCCCTGATGAGCGTCCAACTATATGTTCTCACCATCACCAGTACCACATACTTGCACCTCTGTAACACCATCTATCTCCATGCATGACTTAGTTCATCTATTGCTAAAACTCTCAACTGTACCTTTAAAACCATCTGGAAAACCTACTTTTTGATAAAGCATTTGCTTATTGGCCTTGATATTGCTCTATGTGGCATGGTGTCAAATTTTGTTTGATCATAGTCCAAAGAGGCATCAGAATATTTCACATTACTAAAAGAACTACTTGTAGTCTTTCAATTCTGGTTATATCATTGTAATTTTTTTTTGTTCTTGTTCCATACTTCTAGTCCTTTTTATAGAATGGTGAGTAAAACTGTACATAGTACATTATTGCATAGCCTGTCTAAGGACCAAGTAAAATAATTTTAATACACTTAATTCTATTCCCCTGGAAATAAATGTCAGCTTTTGTTATTTGCTTTGCTTACATGTCAGCCTGCTTTAATTATGACTTGTTCATATGTAAATCCTCTTTCAAATTCAATTTCTTTTTATCTAAAGCCTGAGTTAATATTTGCATTATTCCTACCCAAAGTCCACCACCTGTCATTCAGCAATGTTAGTCCTTTGCCACTTAACTGCAAAGTCTACAATTTTTCCAATGTCTTCTTGGATTATATTGCAGTCTTTCAAGTTATAGTTTGGCATCATTTGCAAATTTGGATTACTACGTCCAAATAAATTATGTCACTCATGAGTAATATTGGCAAGAGCACTAATGCTTGTGGAACATGAGTTTCTACTTTCCTCCCGACTGAATTATAATCTGTTACCCCTAAACACTGCTTTCTACTTTTCATCCAAGTTGTTATCCATTTACCTATTCAGCCTTTGACTAAACTTTGTAATGAGCCTACAGTGTCATACTTTATCAAAGGCCTTTTGAAAATCCAAATATAAGATATGTACTGCATTGCACTTAGTTACTCTTTGAATTCTCTGAAGAGTTAATAGAATCGGGTTCATTCAGCCTGAGATTTGGACACCATGCTGGCTAATTTTTTAATTATATTTTCTATCTCTTGATGCTGTTCCATCATTTCTTTTTTGTAGATTCTACTGTCCTATACTGACTTTAAACTGACTTGCCTCTGGTTTTCAGGTTTTAGTTCAGTTCACATTTTGTATATCACAATTACATTAGCATCCTGTCAGTTCTGTGGTGCTACCTCATCTCCTATGAAGCTTATAACTAAACAAGAGTTTCTGCTGTTGCCTGTTTATTTTCCTTCACTATGTCTGGGAGCATAAGTTCCAGTCCTGGGAATTTATCTTCTTTTAGTTTTGTTGGTTTGTGAACTGTGTTTTTCCTTTTTTTATCCCAATTGTACTGAAATTGTTTTGGAGCTCATCCTCTCTATGGATAAAATCTTCCCAGCCCCTGAATGACATCGTTGACGGTCAATTGAAGAGTCAGTTGATAAAATAGCGTGAAATTGATAGAACTAAGCTTCTCAACCTCAAAAGAAAATCCAACTCTCCGAACAAGTTTTGAAGGGCAAAATGAGAATCCGGCTAGCAAGCGTCAAGAAGGCTGTTTGCATCTGCTTGCATGTATTAGCATGTCATTAATACCTAATCTAACCTCGCTGATATGCAATTCTCATTCTCCCACAGCAACACTTCCCAGCAAGAGCATCAAAGCGGGTACCTAGCAACTCCAGCTCATTGCTTGCTCCTCCAGGCATCCTGGACAAGAGTCACCCCAACATCTCAGGGCATGTTTAATAGTCAACAACTGCCTGCACCCTCCATCCACAAATATTGGCATTGCCAATGTACTGGCCTCACTGCATTCTTTTGGCATATTTTTGATCCACTTAGAATACGGTTCTATACTTCAGTGCTACACTTTGGAGCGCAATAGCACCTTTCAAATTCTGATTGTAATGTAATGCTGCAATTGTCATGTAATTGTAATGTTGCTTGCAGGACACTTTGCATTCATGGATAATCACCCATCTCTTGGATTAAACAAGGGTGCATTTCAAGGCTACTCACTTGCTCTTCTCACATTAACTTTGGACCTACTTGAATGCTCACAGAATTCCTGCCTTGCTTCGCCTTTCTGCACTATATTCTGTCAGAGCTTAAAAGCTCACAGTAGTTTTGTCTTACCTTGCTCTTTAGCACAGGATCAAAGCCAGGAAGCTTGTAAGACCATAAGACATAGGAGCATAAGTAAGCCCTTGAGTCCATTAGTCTCCTCTGCTATTCAATGAGATCATGGCTAATCTAATCCACAACTCCACTTGCCTGCCTTTTTGATTAAAAATCTGATTAAAGTTCTTTCTATCTCAACCTTAAAAATACTTAATGACCCAACCACATCAGCCCTCTGTGGTAAAGAATTCCACAGATTCACAACCCTCAGAACAAATTTCTCATCTCTATATGAAATATGGGAGCTTTTATTCTGAGGTTACGTCCTCTGGTTCTAGACTGTCCCACAAGATGAAACAACCATTTTGAATCTACCTTGTCAAATACCCTAAGAATCTTGTGTGTTTCAATTAACCTGTCTTCATAAGACCCTCCACATCTGATATCAACCAACTGATTGCCTCCAATGCCAGTATATGCTTCCCTAGATCAGGGACCCAAAATTGTTCACATTATTCTAGCTGTGGTCTGATGATGTGCAGTTTTACACAGTTTAATAAAACCACCCTGCTTTTATATTCTATTGCCTTTGAAATTAAGGCCAACGTTCCATTTGCCTTCCCTATTAGCCACTGAACATCGCTTTTGTGGTTCATGGATGAGGATTCCCAAATCTCTATTCTGTAGCTTTTTACAATCGCTCTCCATTTAAATAATAGTCAGCTCCTCTATTCTTCCTTCCAAAATGGATAACCTCACATTTCTACTCATTCTATTCCAACTGCCAATTTTTTGCTCACTCATCTAACCTGTCCATGTTGTTTTTCACACTCTGTGTCTTCCTCACCACTTGCCTTCTCACCTATTTTTGTGTCATCTTCAAATTTGAAAATAGTATATTCACTTCTCTCATCCAAGTCATGTATATTGTAAACGGTTATAGTCCTAGCACTAATCCCTGTGGCACACCACTAGTTACAGGTTGCCAGTCTGAAAATGCACCCTCTATCTCAACTCTCTGACTTCTATTAGTTAGCCAATCCTTTATCCATGCCAATATACTCCCTCCAACACCTTGGGCTCTATTAAGTGACCTAATGTGTGATACCTTATCAAATACCTTCTGAAAATCCAAATATATTACATCCACTGCTTACCCATTATCTATCCTGCTTGTTACCTCCTCAAAGAATTCTAGCAAATTTGACAGGCCTAATTTCCCCTTCATGAAGCCATCTGGTCAGCAGTTATCTCTTCATATGCCAGCAGCATACATGACAAACACACTGGATATGCTTTAACCAAATGGCCATGTCTCAAAATCTATGGAGTATAGTCCTCAGTCAGGAATCCCAGCACAGTAAGTTGAGGGCAGTAAGTCTGTTATCAATCCAGGGGCTTGGATATGGTCAGTCAGCTACTTGGATAGTCAGGGTCAGGAATCTGTATCACCACACTCTGGGGAGTCGGCCACGGTCAGTCTTACAGGCCAAGTGCAACCAATGCAGGGTGCTGTGGCATGCCAAACAGGGAGCTGTGCACAGATCAGTCAGGGATGTAGTCAGTTATCAGTTAGGGCTACAACAAACAC